CCTAATATTTTGCTCACTTCTCCCCCAACAACACAGCAAAATTTTATCTCTTTGCTTTAACTTTTCTCCTCTTACATGCTATGTATTTTGCCCATCGAGTTTATTGTTATTGTGTGTTCACTTCACTCTTATGACTAAGATTTTTGTCTGTTCACTGCCATACAGCCTTAGTGCTTAGAAAATGGCCTGGGATACAGTACTACACAGATATTTACTGAGTAAATGGAGTTTGACCTATTTATTGTTCTAAATATTATCCTAATTCTCACTTAAACCAGAAACAAGTTTGATGTGGAATCATTTGGACAATTTTACCTGTCAATTGTGTGCATTTAAAATATTCTTTTTGGCTTTTTCTAATAAGCTCTGTTTTCTCTATGAGTGTTTTTCTATTTAGGGAGTGAAGCCCAATATTGTGGTTACTCACCATTTTATAATTGATATTTATAGTAGTTTTAATTATGGTAAAATTGATCAAAGAATTGGCAAGCTTCATTTATATTTTATTAAGAAATGGAAAATAGAATAGTGGTAAATTATTCTAGGACTTTAACAAATGTTTGCCAAAGGTTAATGAACCCTCAATATGTGAAATAAAAAGACAAAGTTGGAATTTTGTGCTCTAACAGAGTGGCCTGCTCTTCTTACATATGGTTTTTGGTCAAATAGGATTTAAAGACCAGTGGACTTTCAGAAACATAAGTGGGTTGACTTCATCAGAAACATCACGGTTAATCGGGTGAGATGGGTGTTTATTGGTTAGCACTCTGAGGTATGTTTATTCAGATAGGCTTGTCTCTGACTGGCTTTCCTTCAGAAGGAAGCAGCTGACATTGCTTGATTGGTGATTGAGGCCTGTGGTCATTGGTGATTGAGGCCTGTGATCAATTTTAAACACATTTAAAATTAGTTCTGATGGCTTCTTGTTCCCATGGCTACTTGTTAGTCCTTTACTAAGTTGAAACAACTGTAATGAAAACTATTTTATATTCTATAATTAAAGACTTATTTTTGAGGCTTGGGTCAAGAGGAATTGTTTAGTAATTGCTCTCAGGAAGATTCCCCCTTCTTTTTAGATGCTTAGTGTTAACCAGAGAGTTATTTGCATAACTATATTTTTAAAAAAATAATTATTAGTATTGTTTTTAGTTTTGGTACTCTTAGGGGTGCAGACTCAACACATAAAATAATAATCTCTCAGGGGAAATTTAAGATTTTTCGTACATTTTTGAAGGTATATAATAATGATAGTTGTGTGCATGCATTTACTCTGTCAAAAAGAAATTATACTTTTCCATTGGTAAATCTAGCTTTTTATATTAAGATTAGGTACTAGGCTAAAATGATACAAAAATTACCAAACAATTTTATTTTCAAAGAAAATTATAACTAATTGGATTGTTACCATTTTTGAAATGAGTGTGTGTATATATATGAATGAGTGTGTGTGCGCACACGTGTGTGTGTAATGGCATGTGGGTTTTTTTGAATTTCTAAAATTTTTCCAGCTTTCCTGAGATATAGTTGACATATATAACATTGCATATGTTGAAGGCCTACAGTGTGTTCATTTGTACGTTTTTATGTTGTTAAATGATTACCACAAGAGCGTTTGTTCACATTTCCATTACCTCACATAATTACCATTTCTTTTTCTGGTGAGAATATTTAGATCCACTCTCATAGCAAGTTTCAGATACATAATGCAGCATTGTTAAGTATAATCACCATTTCTGCTCCCAGTGAGTGATGGCAGTTTCAGTGAATAAATCAAGATGGTAGAGGGTGAAATCTATGTGGTTTTTTGCGGGGGTCCAGCCCCAGCGGCCCAGGGGTTCCCAAAGGTGTGGACAGCGTCGTCGAAGAATGAAAGACACGAGACAGCCTTCAGAGCATCAGGACAATCAGCTTCTCTCTTTATTGCCTTGTTACAACTGTATTTATACTATTTGATTTTGTTGCTGGTTAAACAACATGACATTATGCTTTGTTCCGGTTTCTGTTTTGGCCTCTCACAGTTAATGAATATACCTTCTTATCTGACCTTTGCTAAAGAATTTGCATCTGTTTAGGTATGTTAATTTTAGTCTTACCTATTGTTTATATTTCTATAGGCTATTCTACAGGTTAATCTCTAGTTTGTTATTTATATTCTGAAGTTACTATATTATTGCTCTACCGCAGAGCTAAAAGGAGAATAACTCAGCCAGCTTTCTTCTGTGAAGGTGATGGAGACCTGAGTGAGGGCTCTGTGGTTGTTTTCAGCTGTGGCGACTGGCCCTGGCACCCGGCCTCGGTCTCTCCGCTGACATTCCCCACAGCAGCCCATCCTCACTGTGATATCCTGTGTATGATTATTCTGTGTATGATTATTCTGTATATGACTATTCTGTGTATGACTATTCTGTGTATGANCACCTGGCCTCGGTCTCTCCGCTGACATTCCCCACAGCAGCCCATCCTCACTGTGATATCCTGTGTATGATTATTCTGTGTATGATTATTCTGTGTATGACTATTCTGTGTATGACTATTCTGTCTCTGATTATTCTGTGTATGATTATTCTGTGTATGACTATTCTGTGTATGACTATTCTGTGTATGACTATTCTGTGTATGACTATTCTGTGTATGATTATTATGTGTATGATAAGGGTCCAGGTGTAGATTGAAATCATCTCTTTCCTAGACTGCTCTTTCCCTGTGGGGATTCCCAGAGTTTTCCATGAATATAAACATCCCCCAGCAATACATTCCTTGTGGGAACTCCCTGGTGGCCTCCCTGTGGGTTGCCCTGCGCCCCGAGTCAGCAGGGCCCGGACCCAGGCCTTTCCCTGGGGGGAACTCCCTGTGGTAATGGGCCTGACAAGTCCTAAGCTTTCTGCTGACAGCCTGAGTTCCTCATGAGTGGCACATGATTTTCCCGCACTCCTTGGGGCTTTTACTGAATCATAGTCTTTTCCAATCCCCTCCGACTCCCCTGCTGGGGTAAAGTTTCCAGCTGGGGCGATGCCCTCTTCTGGTGCAGTGACTCGGGTAAGGACACAGAGCGTTAGAAAGGGGAACAAGCTCAGGAAGAGGGACATGCCACACGCCAAGTCCCAGGGAGCACTGGCCGTGCAAATGTCTCCTTGAAGGACTGTGTCAAGCAGCAAGGAGGGAACGGCTTCCTGCAGTTTTTATTTCTAGGTAACGGGATATTAGCAGTGATTACTTTTACCGGAAATAAAATTGCATAATGTGGTGTGCAGGCCCAAGCCAGGAGAATTCGCAACTCTATCGAATGCTGTTGGAAGGTTAAGATGAGGACAAGTGACTCTGACAAAGAGCTTTTTAAATAAATAGTTGCCATGGAGGCCAGACTGTAGTGAAATAAGTGTAAACAACTCCTTAGAGAATTTTTACTGGGAAAGGCAATAGAGAAATGGATGATGAAGCAAGACAAGTGTGGCGTTCAAGGGAGTCTTCTTCCCGTTCTTATTTGAAGGTGGCACCTTCTAGAGTATGTCCGTATATTGTTGGAAAAGATCCAGTAGAGAAGGACATGTTTATTGAATTTAAGTTTGCTTGCATTTTCAATTATTAGAGAGCTAGTTGAATGTATTATATTTTAAAGATTAGAGTAAGCTAATTGTCCATAGCACTTCTATAATGTTCAGTTTTATGGTACTAGGTTGTTCATTCAAAATTAGTTCCAGAATGAATATTATCATGTACTGAATGTGCAGATAATTACTTAAAAGTTATACTATCCTAAACAGATTTTTTAAAATTATATAATAATATACAAACATTGAGAGCATACTGAATAAAAGTTAGTCATTCCTTAATGATTCTAGATATTTTAGTACCTTTGACAGTATCATCATGAATAGCTATGATTTTGTAAGGTACTCTAAAGTATTGGGTTTTATTAACTTAATAGTTTTATAGATTCTGGGGAAAAAGGGAAGATTTTATTTATGTGTAATAGAAAAGTAAACTAGTAACAATCCATCACAGATAATTACTTTTGTATTATAATGTTCTAAAGTATAAAAACAATGCCTTCTAACAAAGGTGTCATTGACACATACTGTGTGCTCAATACATATATCTCCAATGCATGAATAAACAGTTGCATGGATGAATGAATGCCTGTTGATGAATTTGTTTAGAAAAAACAAATCTTTACTTTATTGAAGGAATCTTCTAATATTGCCTAGGTATAAAGGTTTTTATTTTTATTTTTAAATGTGTAATTTTCAGAAATTAATATTTATAATGAGAAATGGAATAATAATATATTTATTTGCTATTGTAGTACTTAAAAACACTTAAAAATAAATATTATTTTCAAGGCATATTGTGAAACACATGTTTTGAAGCCAGATTTCCTGGTTGTAAATTTTGGGTCTGCTTTTGACCAGCTGTATGGGGTTGAGCAAGTTTCTGAGTCTTTCCGTGCTTCATTTCCTTGCTTTGTAAAATACTGAATATATTGCCTACCTCCCAGAATTTGTGGGAGGATTTAAATGCTCTTAAGACCTGTAAAGTGCTTTTAATAATGCATAGTATTTACATGGTAAGTCCTCAGAAAATCAGTATCATGATTATTAAAGAAAGGGTTTTCTTCACTTTAGGACTTAAGTCATACTTTACAAATAGGTCTTAGTGTTGGTATAAGTTTGTTTTCATTGAAAACAACAAAAAACAAAACAAAACAAAAACCCCGTGCATTATTTTTTCCTAAAAAGCAATGCAAATAATAAACATTGTACTTTCCCTTTTGCTTTGACTGTCAGCTTGATCTAAATTAAAAATTTTGTGTTAATATTATTAGTAATTTATTTTCTTTCTCCCTTAATGTTATTTATTTTATTTATTGTTTAATTTCCTTTGTAGGAAATTAATTATAAATTCAGAGATTCTATGGAAGAAGCAATAGGTTTAAATATTCTTTATAGTTTAAGTATGTATGTAATATTTACCTGAAAAGATTGTTTGTTTTTTTTTTTTAGGTCTTCAAAGGAAATATCTCATGACGAGTATAAGGTATTGTAAAAAATGTATTATCAAAAATATTATCTGTAGTAAAAATACATTATAAAAGATACAGTGAAAAAATAGAAAATCTTGTTGTAGAGATATTTACTTTGAAAAAAAAATTTAAAAACACTAGTTATTGATAGAAGTACTTCTTTGATAAAATTAGTTCTTTTAAGAATAGCTATGTTTTTGCTTTTATGAAAAGGTGGATATTTATCACCTCTGTACACTTAGTATATATTATAATATTTGGGGGACATTTTGAAAAACAGTATTATTTGTTTTTAGGTCAAAGAGAAATTTAATTCCATGGATGACCTTAGTGACTTAACTCAGTCAACTGAAACAGTTTCAGAACATGGCCCGTCACCTTACTCCAATTATGAGAATTTCATGCTGCTAATTAAACAACTTTGCAAGGATTGTAAAGGTAACACTGTTATATAAATATAAAGCCTTTTTTTATATACTGTAGTAATGTATGGCCACCTTGTGTCTGAACCACAGGGGATATGTTGTTGAGGTATTTATCTGGGAAATATGTTTTATATTAAAATAAAATGAGAGCGAGTGTATACTCTCAGCCGAAGAGCTATGGTAATTTCCACTGTTCTTTTCTCAGTGAGAATAGCAACAGCGTGTTTATTGACTGCTTCTCTCCGATGCCTTCAGCATGGTCAGGTTATGAAGATTTCCCTCCTAGAATATTGAAATAAGCTCAGAACTGCTTTTACTGTTATTTCATCTCCTGGAATCTTAGTCTGCATTGCAACCATAATTATTATATATTTGAAAAGTTCAGACCTCATCATGTTTAAAACCCAGCTATTGCTTCTCTTTGCTTCATGGGTACTTGAGAAAATGGTGGTGTTCAAGTCTACTATATCCTGGGTGATTTTCTGGCTACTTGTTCTGGCACCTACTGATTAGTGGTATTGAAATCTCAGGCCTTCATTGTGAATTTCTCTATTTCTCTTTGCAGTTCTATCAATTTTTCTTCATGTATTTTGAAGCTGCTATTAGATTGCATGATCAGTTAGGATTCTTATGCTGCTTATTAATTTTTGATTATGCAGTGACCTTGCAAATTGCTGATAGTATTTTTTACTCTGAAATCTACTTTGGAATTAATATAGCCACTGTAGCTCAGCTTTCTTTTGTCAGGTGGGAGTGTTGTATATCTATTTCTATGCTTTAAAAATATTGTCTTTATTTACTTTTTTTTTTTTTTGGTTTGGTTAATCCTCACCTGAGGATATTTTTTCCATTATTTTTTTAGAGAGAGTGGGAAAGAGGGAGGAAGGAGAAGAGAGAAAGAGAAAAAGAGAGAGAGAAGAAAGACACACCGATAGGTTGCCAACTGGGGCCTGGAATCGAACCTGCGACCCTTTGGTCCATGGGCCGATGCTCTAACCACTGAACAACACCAGCCAGGGCTACTTTTAAAGTGCATTTCTTACAGGTGGCATATAGTTGCATCTTGCTTTTTTATCCCAGTGGATAATCTGTTTTTCACTTTACGTTTTTGGACCATTTTCATTTAATGTGATTATTGATATAGTTTTGAATCTGTCATCATGCTGTTTGATTTCTCTTTGTCCCATCTGCTTTGTCCCCCCCTTTTTTCTGTCTTCTTTTATTATTTTTTAAAATTTAATTTAATTTTTAAAAAATATATTTTTATTGATTTCAGAGAGAGGAAGAGAGAGAGAGTTGAAACATCAATGATGAGAGAGTCACTGATGGGCTGCAATCCCGCAACCCGGGCATGTGCCCTGACGGTAATCGAACCACGATCTCCTGGATCCTAGGTTGATGCTCAACTGCTGAGCCATGCCTGGCCGGGCTTCTGTCTTCTTTTAGATTAATCAACTAATTTTTATGATTTAATTGTACTTTTTTTTGGCTTATTAGCTATAACTTTTGCCATTTTAGTGGTTGCTTCAGGGTTGGTTTATGGTAAATGCCTTTAAGTCATCACAGTGCACCTTGAAGTAATATGATATCACATCATATGTAATATAACAAATTTACAACAGTTTACTTCCATTTCTTCTTTCCTAGCAGATCCTCCTTCAATCTGTGGGACTATAGTTTCATTAAGTTGTAGAAAGTTTTTGACCATTGTTGCTTCAAATATATTTTTTCTGTCCCTTCCTTCTGTTTCTTTGGGAACTTATGCATTAGCCATTGGAAGTTTTCTCACAAGTCACTGCTGTCCAACTTGCTAATCATTCTATTCTGTGATGTCTAATATGCCTTTATTTCTTATCTGGTGTATTTTTCATGTCTGACATAATTTGCATCTCTATAAGTGCTGTTTGGTTTAAAAAATAACTTTCATGCCTCTAAGTATCTTTTTGAGCTTTGTTGGGGATAGTTGGGTTACTTATAAACAGCTTGATCCTTCTCTGTCTTGCTCTGATTATTTGTTAGGTGAATCCACAGCCGTGCTTGGCGGAGGGCTAATTATTCCCCACTGTTGAGGCAAGAACTTTCTGCCCACTCTGTTCAGTGTCCTGTGAGTGATGAGATTTTTCAGCCCGGCTAATGGGAATAGACACGATTCCTGGTGCTGCATGAGCACCAGGCACTGCTTCCCTCTGCTTTTTTCAGATGTGCTTTTCCCCTGATCTCCGGTGGTTTCCTCCATGTGGGTACTGCTCCTCTCTCAGCTGAGTCCCCTCTGCAGGTCTCCAGGGATCTTTTCTGTTCCACTCCCTCCTCTCCAGTGTTCTGACCTGTGATAGCTACCTGGCTTGGTTTCACCAGACCCTCAGCTTCATCACCTAACTCAGGGAGTCTGGTGGACTCTACCTCAGGTCCTTCTCCCTGTGTTGCGGCCTGGAAATCCTCTCAAGGCGGTGAACTGGGACATACATCAAGGCAACTTTATTTGTTTCAGGAATCACTGTCCTTCAATGCCTAAAGTCCATTGTCTTGAAAATAAGTTTTTAATGTTTTTTGTCTGCTTTGTTTTTGCTTGTTTCAGGTAGGAAGGTAAATCAGGACCTGCTACTACATCCTTTTTTTTTGTTTTTTTGTTATGTGCCTCAGTTTATTTTGTGTGTGTGTGTGTGGTTACCACTAGGTTTACGAAAAAGAAGGTTTGATATATACAAGATTCCTTTGTCTTTTGAGTGCATCTGATTTCCACCCTTCTTGCAGATTCAGGTCTTACCCTTGCTCCGTCGTGCCAGAAGCAGACTGCAGTGGAAGTTGGCTTGGCCTGTGCCATGGAGGGTCTGGAAGGCCTCCTCCCTCCTTTGTCTAACTGCGTCCTGCTCAATCTGCATGTGGCGCTGTGGCCATCTCTTCAGGGAAATGTTCCCTGGGACCAGTGTTGATCAAGTTCTGTTACACGATCATAGAATTCTGTTTTCTTATAATATCCGTCTGAGTTTATAATTAACATTTTACTTGTCCTTTTCCTCAACTAAACGTTAAGCAAAATTAGAGCCAGGAGTCTTATCTGTTTTATCTGCAGAGCTCAGTGTAATGTTTTCCACACTCAATATTTGTTTGTTCAATGTATGAATGAGTATGAAAAAGCACAGTCCTCTTTATATACAAAAAGTACTCATATATTTCATTTCTATTTTCGTTTTCTCTCTGATGCAGATTCAGATAGCTTATGTAAAATCCAGAATGCAGTTCTTTCATATGAAAGATCAATAAAACTTGGGAAAAATCAGTGTGAAGTACTTACAAAAAAAGTGAAAACAATGGAAAATAGAGTTAGTGGATTACACAAGAAGCTATCAGAAACAAGAGAAATAAAATCAGAGTTAGAACATCAAAAAGTGGAATTGGAACAAGAACTTTGCAATTTAAGGTATTGAACAACTTGGTTTTAAGAAAATATTTGAATATTTTATCCTACAGCTATGTAGAAGTTTTTTAATTGCTAATTTACCTTTGGGGGTTTTATAAGGAAGACCACTTCTTTAGTATTGTGGAGTATGAAATCCTTGTAAATAATATACCAAGTCCTTAACAGTGCATACTGCTAGTAATAAGTTAATGTAAATTCTTTCAAATCACCATTTGAATGATTATATAGCAGTCCACCATATGAATACCTCAGTATTTATTTAACAAATTGAATTTTGGTTGTTTTTCATTCTGTATTATGTTTAAGGGTGCCAGGAATGTCTCATATAAATCTGTTTCTACATTTCTGATTATGTACTCTGAATAAATTATTTTTTTTTCAGTTACATTCAATATTATTTTTATTAGTTTCAGGTGTATAGCATAGTGGTTAAAGAATTATATACTTTACAAAGTGTTTCCCCCTGATATTCCCAGTACCTACCTGGCTCCATACATAGTCTTTACAATATTATTGACCATATTTCTTCTACTGTACTTTATGAATAAATTCTTTACCAAAGTATTATTTGGTTAAAGTATAAGAACTTTTTGAAAAAGCCTTTCATCTATATTTATAAATTGTTCTCAAGAAAGTTCATATTAATCTACATTCCCACCAACACAAAATGAAATAGCCATTTTTATGAAGACAGAAAAATTAAAAAAATTGTGCAGCTTTAGTTTTATAGAATGAAAGTAAAACAGAAAGTGATAATTAATTAGTTTATTCAGCACCTTTCTTATCAACAGATAAAATGAATTCCAAGGTCTGCACTGAAAGCACATTTTAATCTTTATTATTGACTTAAATATGGATCTTGTTTTGTTCCAAAAGGGATTTTTTTAAAAATTGGATTTATTGGGGTGACATTGGTTAATAAAATCATATAGGTTTTAGGTGTACAATTCTATAATACACCAACTGTGTATTGTATTGTGTGTTCACCACCCCAAGTTAAGTCTTTTCCCATCACCATTTATTTCCCTTATTCCCTCTTCTACCTCCCCCTAATCCTGTCTCCTCTGGTAATCACCATTCTGTTCTCTGTATCTATGAGTCTGTTTCTATTTTGTTAGTTTATTTTGTTCCTTAGATTCCACATATGGGTGAAATTCCGCAAAGAGATTTTACAGATTTATAAAATGTATAGTAATGAACAGGATAAGTTGAAAGTGTTACAAAAGAAGAAACATAACAAGTGTAGGGCAACAGATATTAGACACCCCAGACTAGTCTTGGATTACAGTAGTCTGCAGATATGTCTTGTGTAAAGACCTCTGCAGATGCTGACTTACACTGTAAATCACTTTAGGAGTACCTGTAATATTTTGTGAAGCTAAAATTTTATTTCTAGTGAATATATAAACTTGTCTATAAACAACAACTGCTCTTTCTAATTAGTAACTAAATCATCTGTCCTAATGGAGGAATAATTAGGACTGTGAAAAAAAATGGATCATTTCAACTCTACCTTTACCGAATAATTTCAAAATTTCTTTCCAACAATATTTATCAGAGCTACTATTGAGTAAAATTTACAAAGTATCAGCATGGTTTTTTTGTTTGTTTGTTTTGTTTTTGTTTTGTTTTTTGTTTTTTTTTCCTTTAAGGAATATATAATTTTTGGAAGAGATCAAAGAAAGAAAGAAAAACCTGAGACCTAAAAAGAAAAAAAAAAATTGGAGAACATAGAAATTTTTATAAGGATAATGCACCAACAATGTGTAAAAACAGATAATAAAATGAACTTCTTATATTCTAAAAAAATGAATAAGATAATTATATTTATCTGCAGATTTACTATAAAAGAAGAAAAAGAGAAGAGACAAAGAACTGATCTATTATATGAAAAAATTAGGGAGCAATTAATAAAAAAAGAAGAGCAATATATTAAAGAGACTGAAATGAATAGAGAACTTGAAACCACTCTTAGAACATTAGAGATGGAATTGCAAGTTGTAAGAAATACTTTAAGTCAGGTAAATTTATCTTTGGTAAAAATTTCTTATTTCTAACAGTATTTTATCAATATTTGTAATATCCCTTTGATTTACATCGCTAGGTTTAAAACAAACTAAAAAATGTGATCTCATTCAAAATACAAACTGTGGCATTTATGACTAAAATTATTTATTACTATTCTTGACATCTAATAGATGCTCTCTATAAATTTTCTAAATGAAAAAGCAGAAAATAAATTGAGCTTAACTATTGACATAAATGTTGATTTTGGCTTTTTTAATGTTAACATACAAGCTAAATTGCCTCGAGACTGTGATGAAACTAGCCAAATGTTCTTAAAGAAATTTTATTTCACAATAATGTATTTGTGCTCTATGAACGAATTTAGCTACCATTTAAATTAAAATTTGAGGTTTTCAAGGAAGATAAAGATCCCTGTGTCCAAAAAGACTACTTTCTTTTAACAGTTTTAAAATATTCTGTTCATAAGCTTAGGACTTTTTTTCTTCTTCTTTTTTTTTAATGGTATGACACCGAAAACTAAATGAAATGTGTCTCTAGGTTGTAGAAGAGAGAAATGAAACTCAGAGGCTACTATCTCAAGAACAGAATGCCAGAAAATTGCAAGATGAAAATCTGTCTCATCTCCTTTGCACACAAAAAGAGACAGAAACAGCTTGTAAGGAAATAAATTCTGAGGTATTTTATTTAGTCATTTTCAAATGCATATGTGTATGTATTTGTGTGTATATATATTTAAAAACCAATACTGTACATATGGAAAGTATGGAGGATTTTAAAAGCATATCTGTATGTGGGTGGGGGTGGGGGTGGCATTTTTGGTCCATTGGTTAAAATGAAATTCTTAATTCAAATCCATTTGTCTTCAACAGTGAAGTAGTGACGTTCACAAAGGGGGAGGCTTTTAATATTTTCCATAGGAACTGATGAGCTTCCCATGATCTCAAAACTATTGCTAGGAACAACAAATGTTCCAGTTTTTGGCAGTGATTTAATTTCCTTGATATATTAATAGAGAGGTTAGTTATTTCTTCCACTGATGGTAAGGAAGAAAGTATAGCCGGCTCAGAGATCATATTTTAGATGTCATTCTTCTGCTTTTGAGAAAAGGAATAGTTTGTTCTAAGTAGCACCCCATTTTAATACAAGGAGCTTATGAAGATAGTGATATGCCATCATATATACTTAGTGGTAAGTTATTGATAAGTATTTTATTCCTACCAAAATAAGTCAGTGTATTTTCCCCCATTTCATATTTATTACTCCTTTAAACGTCATGAAGAGAAAATAAACGTTATTATAGCAACAAATAATTTCATGGTTTTCTAAGAAGACCTCTATACATTTTATCTTATTTACCATTTGTATTTTGAAATATAAGGCTTCTTTTGTGTTTATACACTCACACTGGAGACGTAGCTGTGGATTGGTGCAAGAGCACTAATTGTGGAGTCAGGTGACCTGGGGAAAACCCTGAACTTGCTTGTCTTTTTAACCTCTCCATTCCAGACTGTGATAACTGAGTGAGTCCACTGATGGATGTAGAAGTGCTTAGGACAATGCCTAGGCTATCAGTTAGTAGTAGAGGTAGTTTTTATAACTGACTATAAAAGTTTTAGAAAAGTAGAACATCTAGGGAATATTCTCAGGAAAAAAGAATAAGAAATTTAATTTATCCTAATATATGCAGGGAGAGTTAATACTCTTAGTGTGGGGTAACTCTATATTCATACTGTAAACTCAATTTTTAAGTGTAGTCAGAGTTATTAACCTTTAATGCATTCTGGGTTTGTGGTGATTCAGAGAAAGGCCTTTCTAATTCTGAGACGCTTAAAAATTCTCATGATTTCTTTCTTACTTTCAAGAATTCATCTTATATTAAATTTTTGAAATTTTGGGAATTTATGCTTGCATAAAGTAGAGGCTTAGATCCAACTTTATTTTCTTTCAGAAGGATGTCCACTTATTGCAACCTTTTTATTATGAAAGCATATAGATTATTCTTTAATTTCAAGGATATCATGACATGTCATTTCATTGAGTGCTAGCTACAAGTCTTTTTGTTTTATTTAGTTTTCTTTTTATTTAAAAACTTTGTTTCAATTACAGTTTACATTCATTATTATTTTGTATTAGTTTCAGGTGTACAACATAGTGGTTAGACAATCATACGCTTTACACAGTGTCCCCCCGCCAGTATTTCCAGCACACACCTGGTTCCACACATAGTTATTACTTTATTATTGACTATATTCCCTATGCTGTACTTTCATCCTCATGACTACTTTGTAGCCATCAATCTGTACTTTCCAATCCCTTCGCCTTCTCACCCAGCCCCTCAACCCTGCTTTCCTCCGGCAACCACCAGTCTGTTCTTTGTATCTGTGAGTCTGTCTTAGTTTTTTATCTTCTTTTTTGGTTTGTTTCTTTTATACTGTTCTTTAGATTTTACATATAAGTGAAATTAATGGTATTTGTCTTTCTCTGCCTAACTTCACTAAGTATGATAACTTCTAGGTCTACTCATATTGTTGCGTGAGGTAATGTTTCACTCTTTTCTATGGCCAACTAATACGCAGCTTTATCCATTCGTCTATTATAAATAATGCTGCAATGAACATAGGGGTGCATATAATCTTTTAAATTTGTGTTTTGAGCTTCTTTTAATATATAGCTAGAAGCGGAATTGCTGGGGCATAAGGAAGCTCCATTTTTAATTCTTTCTGGAGCCTCCGTAGTGCTTTCCGCAGCCCCAGTCCGCGTTCCACCGGCAGCGCAGGAGGGCGCCCTTTCCTCCGCACCCTCACCCGCACTTGTTGTTTGTGGTTTATTGGTGACAGCCCTCCGGACAGGTGCGAGGTGATACCTCATTGTGGTTTTAATTTGTGTTTCTCTGATGATTAGTGACACTGAGCATCTTTTTATATGTCTCTTGGCCATCTGTATGTCCTCTTTGCAGAAGTGTTTATTCAGGTCCTCTGCCCAGTTTTTAATTGGATTGTTTTTTTGGTGTTGAGTAGTATTTCTTTATAAATTTTAGGTATTAACCCCTTATCAGATGTATGATTGGTGAATATGTTCTCTTATGTAACAGGTTGTCTCTTCATTTTGTTGATGGTTTCCTTTGCTGTACAAAAACTTTTTAGTTTGATGTAATCTCATTTATTTTTTCTTTTGTTTCCCTTCCCAGAGGAGATGTATCAGATAATATAAATAATATAAATATAAACATAAATAGTTTTTTAGAGTACTAATTTTCATGGGCAACTTTCTTTTGTATTTTCATTATAATTAATTTATTATGATTTTATTATCTTTATAATGCATTTACTTTTTACACTCTGGCTTCCATTCTGCCATTTCCCTTAGAAAAGTTGAGAATTACACATAATTTCTCATAGAATTCAAGAGACTTTTTTTCCTACTAAACCACATTTTTTAAATGATATCTCCATTACCGTAATGAGGCAGCCAGATAAAAATCAAAGGATAATGTTTTATGGACTGTATTAGGAAGTTACCTTATTTTTTATCTTCACTTTTGTGACTGAATATAGAATTTATATATATTTCATGGATTTTGGAATAACTTGTATGGAAGGTCATTATACAAAGGCATCAACGTAGGTATTTCTTCATTTTCTCTTAACTTTAGAAATATTGTCAAAGTGTGGCAGTATTCAGATCATTATGGTATGCATACCCACCATGGAGAATTAAGAAACTTACTGAGATCCACCATTGGATTTTTTCGAAAAAACTTTACTGAGATACAATTCACATCATATAATTTACCCTTTTAAAATGTACAATTCAGTATCTCAATATATTCGGAGAGTTGTGTAACTACCACCTCAATCAATTATAGAAACTTTTCATCACCCCCCCCCAAAAAACTGCACATCTCTTAGCTGTCATCCTCAGCTTCTAATCTCCCCCTGCCTCGGGCAACATCCAGTCCACTTTCTGTCTCTACAGATTTGCCTGTTCTGGATGTTTCCTATAAATGGACTCACACAGTGTGCAGTGAGCTATGACTGGCTTCTTGAACATAACATCATGTTTTCAAGGTTCAACCAATACTATAGAAGAATGCTTCATTGTGTGGCTAAACCACTGAACCATTAATCAGTTGATGGAACTCTGTGTTGTTTTCACTTTTTGGCTGTTAATAATTTCCCCATGAACATTAGTGTATGAGTGATTGTGTGAACATATGTTTTTATTTTCCTGCCAATGAATTAAATTGGGTTGACTTCAGCATCTCTTGGCCTTTACTCAGGCTGCCCATTCTGTGTTTTCATAGCTATTACTGTTGCCTAATCCTGCACCTGTTTGGACCTGGCTCCCGCTCTCCCCTTCCCATGAAGCAGTCTCTGACTGTTCTAACTCTCATTGTCCTCTTTCTTTTCAGCACTTGTCATCTTGTCTGTACCGAAAATTTAGGCCTTAATTTTGCATTGTTTTAATTTTTTTCATGAGAGATAATCTTGTCTAAGTATAAATTTGTCTATGGGGTATATTATTTGCTATGATGGTACCTATCCTTGTACAAGTTGAAAATATTTTAGCTTAACTATTGGTAGGATAAAACTAAATACTTTATACCACACCAATACTTTTTTCTTAGAGACATTGACATATGTAATTAAGCTTTTATTCTCAATGCAGCTTAAGCAATTTAATATAAATAAAACAGAGGATTATTTAATCAGAAGCTCACTTTTTTTTACCCTCACTTTAAAAAAAAAAGAAATTAGCCTTCCTTCATTATGCAGCCAGAACTGAGATTTACAGATTTATAGCACTTTACCAACCGTAGAGCTCTGGAACAGCCTTTCTGATCTGCCATACCACAATCTCCTTAATCTACTCATCAGAGGACTTGCTAGAGCAGCCTGACGTAAACAGTTGCTGGGAATGGAGGGACTGGGAGCTTGGATTTAGCAATAGAGTCCGTTATATCCATGTCAGTGGCTTTCCCCTACCGTCAGGTCCTGTAAGTGATGTACTCAACCCGGGTGGTGCTATTTGCATTACAGCTCATGATTGTTGCCCACTGAGCAATACAGAAAGGAAGTTATACATTGTTGAAAGCAGAAAAGTACTGTTGGCTAGCGGAATTGGTGGAAGCTTTTTGAAGCACTGAGTGCGGGTGTATTCTGGCTTTATGCTCCCCATTTGCTGCCATTGTCAATGGTGTGAAGAATGATTTCAGTGCGACTTGTATAGGATTTAATTGTTTGGCCCCCTTGTCGAAAAGCACTTGGTCATGAATGTGAGGGTTGATTTTTGGATTCCCTCTTCTGATTCATTGATCTATATGTCTGCCCTTATGGCAGTAATCAAATTTTATGAGACCTCTTTCCCAGTCATCTTCCATATTACAAGTTGTTTCATGTAACAAAAAGCCAGGGTAGTGGAAAGTCTATCGCTATATCTTTTGCTTCTTGAAGGATCCTGAGGCCAACTTATACCTTGCGACTCCGAGGCATGACGGGAAAGTAGGCTTACAATGGTAACGTCTGTTCCTTTTTCCTTTCTCTCTCTCCATTCAGACCTTTAAACTCAAGCCCTGTGACTCCCACTTCACTTCTATTTCCAGCAAATCTTGGTTGCTGACTTAGTCACNTGTCTGTTCCTTTTTTCTTTCTCTCTCCATTCAGACCTTTAAACTCAAGCCCTGTGCCTCCCACTTCACTTCTATTTCCAGCAAATCTTGGTTGCTGACTTAGTCACCGTTTACTTCATTATGTTTAACTCGTATTTCATAGACTCATCCATAGATTTCACTCTCTAGGAAGGAGAAGATGAAATCTGGACCGTCTGCTTTCCTCTTTGGAAATCTCTCTAGTCCATCATCTTGCCATGTATATGAGGAGATCCTCTTTTGACCTTGTTCTTTTGTATTGCACTGGTACCAGTCTCATTCCTGGCATAGATCCTATATTTTCAGAAACTACAGTTCCCTGTATCTACTTTTTTACTTGAAGGAATTTGAGGCACCGCCTAAATCTTTCCAAGGTCTTAAGGGTTTTACAGTCTGAGCTTCATGCTTAGACCCTGTTTTCCTGGAGCACCATGGATTTGCTCTTAGCCCAGAAGCCATTGCTTCATTTTAGCATTATTTGACAATTGGGCATATATGTGGGGGAGGCTATAAATGGGGAACAGATATTTGAAACAGATTTTACTTTTAGCTGCTTCTTAGGGAAACCCCCCTGTCATCCTCGTTTCAGTGTCATTTGTTCACTTGCCCAGGAGCCTTTGCTGTCAGCCTCCTCGGGGCCATCAGGCCTCCGCGCACCGTCCCTCGGAAGCCCTTTTGGTTTTCATTCTTGTGCTTCTCTACATTATTTCAGGTCCCACCTACCTCCTGTTTCAAAGGCACTCTTACACGTGCAGTTTTTTTGGGGTGGGGTGGGCAGCACTATTTTTAATATTATTATCTGTGCCAGTTATTTATTGTTCATTAAAGAACCACCTCCTAACCCACTGGCTCAAAACAGCATTTCTTTCGTTCACAAATCTGCAGTGAGGCCAGGCTCAGTGAGGCCAGCTCAGGTCTTTTCCACTTGCCATCAGCTGGGATTACTTGAAGCTGGGAACTACAGTCACCTAAAGGCTTGTTCATTCATGTATCTGTCAGTTGCAACAGGCTTTTGGCTGGGATGTTAGCTAGGCCGTGTCAGCTCTGTGCGGCCTGGGCTGCTTCATTCTTCACAGCGTGGTGGCTGGGTCCTCAGGGTGAGCTTCCCTAGAGGGAGGAGTCGGATGGGAGCTGTATCACTCACAGAAGTCACATAGCAGTTCCACCGCATTCTACTCAATAGAAACTAGATACATACTGAAGCCAGCACTATTTCTTGGAGAAGTACCAAAGAATTTGTAGACGTGTTTCAAAAACTCGGCATCATTCACCTTGTCTTAGCAAATAATCATTATATCTACAGGAAAGTAGTTCTTCCCGTGTCGTTATCACTGAAATTCCAGCTGGTTTGTTCCTGTTGTTGTTGTTTAGTATGTTCTGTTATTTTCTGGGCAGTACAAGAATTACAAGATAGCACTAACGAAGTAAGCTGTGTTGTTTTTTTAAAAAAAATTTTTAATTGGTTTTAGAGAGGAAGGGAGAGAGAGAGATAAAAACATCAATGAGAGAGAACCGTTGATCAGCTGCCTCCTGCAAGCCCCCTGCTGGGGAGTGGAACAGGGGACCTCTTAGTTCATAGGTGGGTGCTCAACTCCTGAGTCACATCGCTGGCAAAGCAGTGATTGTTTTTTTGTTTGTTTTTTTCTAAAAAATGTAGACCTCATCTCACTAAACTTTTACAGTGAGAGATGTGATTTCTCCTTAATCCTGGGAATCATTTCCTCTTGGAATGCAATTCAAATTAGCATCAAACTTTTGTAGTACAATAATAGGCTTGTGGCATTAGAATCCATATTTATAAGATTCATTAATTAGAGTCTCATTTTGAAAGTCTTATTTTGGGAGTCATTTGTTGACTAAGGCCTAAACACCTCAATATAATGTCCATAAAACTTGTTTAAGATTATGAAGAGTTTAGAGGGGGGAAGAGGTAAGAGACTTTATACTAAAAGGTGACTTATAGTTATTTTGTGGAGGAAGACATGAAACAATCATAGAAAAAAGATTATAAAATTAAGTGCATATGTTGTGTGGCAAAGACTACAACAGCAGAGAATATACTCCTGGTGACTTCTGTTCTTGATTCTGAAAAATTCAGTGTTCCACATTCTAGCCCTCTCTCTAGTAGAGTACAGATAATATTTTATTGCAACTGAATTCATTTCAAAATTTTATACTGGTGTTGAGTTAGACTGTTCTCAATCTGCTTCCTTCATAATGAAACTGTATTATTTTATTCATGCAGAATGATAATCTTACAGCAAAACTGGAAACTGTATCTTCAAAATGTATACGTCTGGATGAAAAAAATAAACTTCTTCAACAGGAGTTATTATCTATGAAAGCAATAGAAAAGAAATGTGAAAAACTAGACAATAAAAACAAGAAGTTGAAACAAGAAGTAGTAAAGCTCAAAAGACATATGGAAATGAACATGATAGAGTACAGCGAAGTAGGACAGTATAAACAGAAGATTGAAGAGCAAGCGAGACAGGACGTAGCTGACAAATTGAAACAAGTCAATTCATTTTTACAGGTTAACTCATTGATCTTTAATGTGCATTAATTCATCTCACTGAAAATTACATTTTGGATATAGACAGTGTTTGTGTTTCCTCTACTACTTTTAATAGTACTTTATTTTGTAGATTTCTGGAAGGAAGGTGGCATTTGTTTTTCCCTTTCAGTATTTCAGTTTCCATCATTATTATCACTAAATTGACATGTCAGAATGATTCTTACTACAGGATCATTTTATTTTTAAGACCAGTTGATGTAAAACAAGACTATTAGGAAGAAAAGAAAAAATGTGACTTAAAATTTATACCATACTCTTGAATTAAGTTATATTGTTCAACTTTTAAAATTTTAACTGATTCTATTCTTCTTTGAATGATCAGATTACATGAGTACTAATAGATGAATAATTCAGCTTTATAACTCAGATTTAATTCAGTGGGCATTGATGGTAAATATTTTAAGCTTCAGCTCTTCTTCACATTTAAAGTTGATTTCTGAGTCACTGACTCAAGACTAAAGAAAGGGAATATACTATAATTGCCCTGGTTATAATTACTTTAAAAATGTATCCTTTTTATTTGCTTTAGACACAAAGAGCATCTAAAGAAGTCTCAGAGCGTTTAATAGAGTATCATAATGCTTCCATAAGAAGTCATTTGGAACTCAGAAATAAAGATCTGGAATCAGAACTCTCAAAAATGCAAACTTCTCTAGATTATAACAGAAGAGAACTGGAAAGATATGAGAGCCTCTATCTAGAAGAATTGGAAGGCAGAAAGTCATTGGAAAGTAAACTCAATGAGTAAGTTAAAAAGCAGAATCAGACAAAATAAATTTAATCCATTGATTAGCCTTTAAAGCATAATTTTTACCTAGCCAGGTTCATGAGGTTAGTAGGATTTGAAAGCTAACTAAATAGGATAACTTTGGAAAATCATGTTAGCAAATAAACTTACCTTTCAAATGTTCTTCCAGGACAGTTTGCATCTCTCCTTTTTTTTTGGTTTTACGTGTCTTTATTTTCCCCCTTAATGCTTTGATGTAGTTAACCTGATCTACTAGTCTTTAAGCTGAGTGTTTTTGAAGCTCTATAATTTAAACATTGATATTATTATAAAATTGCATGTCAGAATTCCCCTAAATAGAAATATTTAAGATAACAACTTAAACACAACGGGTTAAATTACTCCCACACATTCTGGCACTTGGTAAATTTACCTTCTTACTTGTGATCTTTGTTATTATCACGGAAGGCGCCTTGAGACAAACTCTCCTTGATACCAAGTTTTTCTATCCTGCATAAAGGCATACATGTTAAATAGGGAAAGATTAACATAGGAATGAAGGGCAATGTAATTGACAAAGTGGCTAAGAATAGTAAGGTGGTCTGCCTGAAGGCGCGTGTGGAAGCCAGAAAGGGCAGAGCCCACCGCCAGTGCCTTGGCGACAGTGTTATAAGCTGATCGCCTCGGGAGCTTTTTTCGTTCATTCTGATCACCAGCAAGGCTGTCTTGTTCTCACTTAGAGGTTGTTGCTGTAAATTATGCCTTGGTGACGAATGGTTAAAATCTCCAAGGTAATGAGTGTATTGTACAAGGGTGGTGAAAGTAAATGCTTGACAATGTCTTTAAGGGGATTTTTCTTTTCCCTTTTTTAATCTTGAAACTGGTTTACTAAACGTGTCCAAGGGCATGCTCTAGAATCCTGTAGGTACGGCCCTACCAGAAGGCCGCAAGTATCACCTGATAAGCTGTCTACATCCCTGATAGCCATGCCCCTCTCCTCCCTACTTGGAATTACTTGTTAGTTAGGAGCCCCCTCCCCCACTCCCTGGAAACTTCAGTACTTCTTTAGAACAATTTAGAACCTATACTTGAATATAGTAGGTCTGCTTCGACACATTTTTGGTGTTAAAATGCTGTTTAGTGGGAAATTCCATGTACTATTATGGCAACTTAAAAAAAAAAAAGCAAGTCACTTAGGGAAAAATGAAAAACTAAACACTTGTGTTTTACAATCTTCACAGGACTAACGAGAGGCTAGCAGAAGTCAGAACTGAACTTCTCCTGCAGAAACAGAAGGACAGATCTGTGATCAACACTCTTAATATGAGACCAGCCCTGGAGATACCTTCTGTTAGAGATCTTAATAGTTTTGTGCCCAATAGAAATTCTACTCCAAGAGAAAACTTGAAGATTCCTATCTTGAGTCCACACACTTCAACTTATGTGATCAAGGTTAGTTATATTATCTTTTTTTCCCTTGGGTTTCAGATTTCTGAAATAATTCTTTGATGAAATTCTGAGTTGCTTAATTGACTAGTGCACACTAACGAAAGTCTTAATTTTTTGTGTTAATACAGAAAGAAGACAGACTGTAAAAAGATTTTACAATCCTTTTTAAGTCCCTGGATCTTTTTATTTTCAAGAGATACCTATCATTAACTTTATTCAATAAATATGGCTAAAATGACACATTTTAAATTTCTTGAAAAGCTGCATTTAAATTTGATTTTAGAAAATAAATATTATTGCCTAATAACCAATGGCATACTTGGAGATGCTTTGGCTTACTTTCTAATGGATTTTAGTTTGGTGATGGTTCATAACAACTTTTAAGTTTTGCTGCACCCCAATTTTTCTACCCTTAAGCATAAGCAAATGATTAACATCTAAACACTTAATCATATGTGGATATTTGCTATTTAAATGAAAAGGAGATAAATCCTTTTTATGAATTAAATAAACTTGTGGCCCTAAAAGGTTGTTCCTCCAACCACCAAACAAATTTGAAGCAGTGAACACTTTTCTTATTTGGGGACATTTGGTTTCCACAATTCAGCAGGTTGATAATTTGAGGTCTTTCTTTTGTTTTCCAGTAGATGGTGCTATCTTTGTTTTCCCTTACCCGAACTACTGGTGGGGGTAAGG